CCGGGGACGAGTCCACGCCGGGGACGAGTCCAGCCGGGAACGAGTCCACGCCGGGGACGAGTCCATGCCGGGGACGGGGACGAGTCCAGCCGGGGACGAGTCCAGCCGGGGACGGGTCCACGCCGGGGACGAGTCCACGCCGGGGACGAGTCCATGCCGGGGACGGGGACAAGTCCAGCCGGGGACGAGTCCAGCCGGGCTGCAGATAAAGCCTCCAGCAGCAGCAGACAATGGAGCCGGGCTTTACAACGGGTCACGGCACACTGCTGACTGTCCACTACTGCTAATACACTCCTATTCTGTTACAGCTCATTGTGTGTGTCCGTCCTTTATTAACACACACACACACACACACACACACACACACACACACACACACACACACACACACACACACACACACACACACACACACACACACACACACACACACACACACACACACACACACACACACACACACCTCTTCATAGACGATACAAGAATGACTGATCCGTTTAGCGATGCTAAGCTGAGACAGTCCCTCTCCATCCGCCCATGGGAGGTCTCTACCCTCATTTTCTGTCCATTTGGGATCCACGCTGATGGAGTAGCTCGGTCTCCCTACAGACCACTCTAACAGCACCAACCCCTGACCCACCCACCTGCCTCCCCCTGCAGCAGAGGTCTCCCAGCACCACGGCCTGAGCGCGGGCTGTTCCACAGCTGTGGTTGCTCCTTTGGCATCTTGGACCATGTGTGAGTGTCTGCGTGGGATATTCAGGGTCACCTGGACGCCCTCCTCTGATGCAGGTCAGACTGAATTGTTACTCTGCAACATGGCGCAAGACAACCTGCATACAGCATGGGTAAAGCAGAAATGTGAATTAGCAGCAGGCAGAGCTTTAGAAATGGCTGAAAAGTGGGTTTTTGAACTTGTGTGTGAAGTGGTGAATTCTGCCCTTGTGTCTTGAGCTACTTGAGTAAATTCCTGCTCAGATTTGAATCTTTTCAGAGATCTGTTGTGACTTCATCATGGCGGATGCTCGTCTGGACAACTGAAAAACTGGAGATATTTACTCCAAAGCATCCTTCTGTTGCTTTATTTCATGTTTTAAAACGCCTGAAGAGGATTGTTTGTTACAGAAGCTCTACTGAAAGTCACCTAACCTGCAGCAACAGCAGCAACAACGTTTCTGTGTAGACATCATGGTTAACAAAAAGATTCCTGAACAATCTCCTTTCATCCTACAGGACTGACGAGCTAACAGCTAGTCCAAAAGCAGCCAAGATGAAAGTGTTTTGCTGCTGGTTTACATCAGTTATAAACCAAAACGTTGATCTATTTCTGCAGGAATGTTACTAAAATCCTGCATCCAGGTGCGACCCCTGGATGGGCACGAGGTGCATTTGCTGCTCATGATGTTTATGTAAATAATCAACTTCCCTGTAAACTATCTGTACCATAAAATTCACACGTTTAAATATTTATGAATGAAAGTTTGTTTTGTAAGAAGTAAAGTGAAATTTCAGGAGAATGCGTTGATTTCTGAACCGTAGCAATGGTGAGCTAGCTGCTAGCTGCTAGCTGCTAGCACATCAGTTCTGAAGGATACAAAACCTCCTCTTCCAATCATTCACGAAGCTGTCTGGAAGTAGGATGACGATGGTTCCTAACTTTGTGTGGATAAACTCTAGAAATGGCCGAAGCCCTCGCTGTGATCCATCCTCGTGGTGTTGACTTATCGCAGCAACTCTCTTACTCTCACCGAGCTTTTGGAGACGAAACGCAAAAACTGCAGCAAACGCAACACCGCTCTCGTTAAACTTTGAACATTTTTGGCACGTGCACATTAAAAAGTGCCTGAATTACCACTGACAGAGAGCCATTGAGCAAAACAGATCAGACTTTATGTTTAGTGCAGCAAACCACAGAAACTTTTTGTTGTTCCCACAAATGCTAACGGTTAGGGTTAGCCCACAGCTGCCCTGGAGTGGGCCCGGTTCACCAGCAGCTGATGATGGTCTGAACAAAAGCTGGTTGGTCTTTTCTCAGGGTGTGAAAAACAACACTGAATGACTTGATTTGATAACAAAGGCTGCACAGTGGAGCAGTGGTAGCGCTGCTGCCTTGCAGCAAGGAGGTACGGGGTTCACGTCCCAGCCTCCGGGCTTCTCCAGGGTCCAAAAACATGACAGTCATTGATTTCTCTAAAGTGTCCTTAGGTGTGAGTGTGTGTGCACAGTTGTTTGTCGTAACCCCCCCACCCCCCACCCACCCCGATGCAGGAAGCCCCTCCACGAGTGTGTTGAAATCTGCTCTACACACTCGTGCATACCCACAGCCGGCTCCGGTTTCCGGGCCCGTTTAGGCGCTGACGAGGTAACAGCTGTGGTCTGCGGTGACACCCCACCCCGACCCAACACGGACCGTCTGCTCCGGTCTTTCCTGTTCATCATCAGTCCCAGAATAATCCAACACAAATCATCATTTCATAGAAAAATGTGTAAACCCCGCCCCTCGTATTCCGGCCCCGCCCAGTCCAGCCCTCGTCCAGGTCCCAGACCTCCCCGGCTCTAAATCCTGGCTTTGTGTGGGAGCTGGATGAGACAATGAGCTGCTAGCTGACGCGGGGCTGGCTGGCTGATCTGCACTGACAGCATCTCCTCCCCAACAGCCCCCGGTGCAGCTGGGTGGTCCTACAGCTGACCGCGGGTCATCACACATCAGAGCCCTAGGTGGTCTCCAAACGACACGTTTCAAGCCTCTCTGCTTGAGTGCAATCTTTCACACCCTCTCCCTCTGTTATGAGACGGGGTTGCCTAGGCAACACGTCAGGAAGGAAACGCCCTCGCTCCAGAACCAGGAGGGTTCTGATCCATGAAAACCTGCAGAGCAGGTGTCCTGCTCAGACGCAGACTCCTGTTGATGAGGAGGCACAGTGGCTCCCTCTGGGTGATGGAGCTCCTTCTGACCTCCATGGCAGAACCCTAACCTCAGAGAGGGCTCGGCTGTGGGAGTCGGTCCGCTTCAGGCCCAAAACGCCACCTCGGTTTTCTGGAGTGGAAACGTAGTCTCTGTAAAAACCAGATCATGAGCGGTCGGTCACACGTGATGCTGTTGTGGGTATTTGACCAAAACAGCTACAGAACCGTTGTTTCTCAGCAGAGGATGAATTTAGTGTAAAACTGTGGAAAGCAAAGTGAAGTCACGTCTTCCGTGTTTGATGCTCCATCTTTCTCACACGAATAACTCGTGATGGTTGTGTGAACCTGTTTAGACCCGCTGAGCATCGTTTCTTCTGCTGGTGGCGTCAGCAACAATCACTCTAAATGGTCCTTCTAACTAAACTGTGCACTCACACCAGGTGTGGGTTTCCTCTGGGATGAATGAAGCCTTTCTGGTTTTATCGTACGGATGAAAGGAGAACTCAGCAGAAACATCAGCAGCTTTTCCAAAACGAGATCCAAAGCCCCATGGTTCTGTTTTCAGCTCTGTGAGATAAAAATACTTCACTCCCAGAGACGGACAGCTTCAAAGCCTGTCCAGATCAGGATAAACAAATAAACAGAATATAGATTTTAATATCAAATCACTTTTTCAACATTATCAAACATTAACTTTGTGTGGATTTTCTCACATTAAACCACTTCTGGTCTTAAAGCATCCAGATGGAGTATCAGGATTAGTACCTTCATCAGAAACCTGCCATCATTGTAACTATTACTATTATTATTATTAATACCATGATTAATAATAATATTATTAGCATATTATTAAAATTATTGTTGTTGTTATTATTATTATTATTAATATATTATTATTGTTGTTGTTATTATTATTATTAATAATAGTATAATTATTATAATTATTGTTGTTGTTATTAGTATTAGTATTATTAAAAATAATATTATTAATAATATATTATTAATAATAATGCCCCTGAGTAGGTATGGGTGGGGGCCTGGGGTTCCTGTGTTCTGGGGCAGCTCCTGGATATCTGGGACTTGGAGCTCCCCCCGTCTCCTACACATCTTTGGGGGGCGGATCTGTGGTCCCTCACACTCTGTTGGACGCTCCTATAGAGAAACCTTACATAAACAAGCGCGTGTACACACACAGGTGCTCACATGGTGCTCTCATAAGTATGGACTTGGGCACGTTCAACACAGGTCTTAAGGCTGTGGTTGGCACTAAATGCACTGTGATTTATTATCGTGATTGTTCAGTTAAACAGTGTTGATTTTATATTTCACCATCAGGTTGACGCGGTGATAGCTTGCTCCTGATGTATTGCTGTGTGTCCCTCTTCTGCAGGTCTAGAAGCAGACTCTTGTTCATCATTGATTGTTTGTTTTTGTGGAAGACCCTCCCCCCTTCCTTTGGTCTCTTCCTTTCTCTTTCACCTCTGTCTCGTGTCTGGACTATAAAGCATCAAAAACAATAACAATAAAGTTTTAAGTATCAGGCGTGACATTAAAAGCAGACGCTTTGATGCTCCACCTGAGTAAATCTGTAAGGCTTGTCACCAGCATTCAGACATCAATTCTGTTTGCTTCGCAGCCAGACAGGACACGGTAAAAAAATATGTATTATGCTTATTATTATTGTTATTATTATTATTATTATTGTTGTTATTATTATTGTTATCATCAGATTTTAAGTTGTGAAGTTCGGCCCTTTTCTCAGACCCATGCAGACGAAGACGAGCCTCATCCAGAGCAACAACTCTGACTTTAACACTGATAACTCTCTGCTCTTTCAGCCAAACACAGCTTACCACCGTTTCATTTTAAGTTCTTGCAAAACAGCCACCATATTTAGATGATTTCATATTTCATATCCTATCATTTGTAATCCTCTCAAACCTCATCATGAAATGTCACAAACTTTATGGTTTTTCTCCACCCTCCTATAGTCACGTTGCCCCGCCTCCCTCTGCCCTAATATGGGTGCATCTCTGTGACCTGCAGCCAATCAGGAAGCTGGATGCCTCCCTCCAGGAGATGCCATGGGTCTGAGCCAGGTCTGAGTCTCAGTGAGGGGAGCAACAAGCTGACGGGTGGCACGGGGCAAAAGGCTTCAGCTGCAGAGACAGGGTGGAGACCTTCAGAGCAAAACCACAGAAGAAGTTAACGGAAGTAGCAGGAAGGACATTAGAGATGAAAGAGTTGCTGGATTAGATTAGACTAGATTAGAGGAGAAGTGAAGTTTCTGCAGGTGGAGGTCGACCAGCAGGAGGAGAAACCCTGAGAACAGGTAGGGTGGGTGAATGAGCTTCGTTATGTCTGACCATGCTGACGGCTGCAAACGTGACGCTGCTTTTGGAGGAAGGGAAGGTATCAGGAGGAGTCTGGCTGATGAAAACACAGCAGGTGGTCTCCATGGGTTATGGAGTAAAACCCCTGCAGCATGGCTCCTCGTGGTTCCTCGGCGGGTCTTCTTTAGTTTCCTGACCTGGTGAGGTGACTCTTGGCTGCTGCGGCTGGAGCATCCTGCAGACGCCACTCTGCTGACGTTGGAGGCGTAACAATAGAGCGCTGTTTAAACGCAGAGCCTTTCAGTAGGACAGCTGCAGCTTGTGTTTACTCCAACATGCCAGCTGCTGCTCACAAACACTTGAGTGTTCACTCAGGTTTATGGGAAGTGTCTGCAGCGTGACCTGCCACCATGTTGTACGTTTGCAGCAGTCGCTGCTGAACCACAGACTGCTTCCTCTAAAATGTGATTTCAGTAGGATTTGATGCCTTTTCTTGTTGTTTCCAGCACAAAAACAACCACATGGTCACGCTTTTTCCCTGTACAGCCTGGTCCTGGCTGGACTGGTGGGCCGTTGCTCTGATGACCTGACCTGACCTGAGCTGCTTGCAGGACGCGCTCTGTCCAAATAGCTCCTGTCTGCACGTTACACAGCAGAGACAGCTGCAGGGGACGTCATAAGATCTGTTGTCCCTAATGCCCAGCTCCACCATGAGCTGGCCCCTCAGGCGGGTGTGTGTGTGACCCACAGTGGGTCACACACACCCGCCAGACTCAGGTGTAGCATCAACTTACTCAGCATGCACAGGTGTACACCTGAGGAACGCAGCGGCCACTTGTTCCTGTGTGCTGCAGGGGCGGGCCGCTGGGCCGCTAGCTCCTCCCAAACAGAAGCCAAGTCGTCTGATTGTTTAATGATCATAAATTATTGAACTCAATCATTGACTGGATCTGGAAATATTTTGTGGAGTTTCAGGTGTTTGAATTTGACACAAGGACAGAACACGTCACTACAGGGAAGGGAAGTCTTCCTTTATCTGCGTAGTCAGATGATGGATGGTCTTCATCATCGGCTTCCTGTGGGTGGGGTCGGGATCAGCTTCAAGTGCTGTCCAGAGCTCAGCTTGTGAGGAAGCTCTGACGTAAAAAAGGAGCGAGAACTTCCCTCGGAGCGCCGAGACGGATTGAGAGGAAGGAAAACTTCTGTAACCAACGAGTTTGGATTCAGATTTATTCAAATATTTTAATCCCTTAAATCTCAGATAGTTTTTATTCTGACACATCAGATTATATAAGCGCTCGGTGTGTGTGTGTGTGTGTGTGTGTGTGTGTGGGGGGGGGGGTTATCTGAATCAGATAAATAAACCAGTTTCCTGTTTATATGGAGGCACTTCCTGTCTTGAGGCTGACGCCTGCGGGTGTGTCCTGTTTTTTATTTGTTAATCTGATGTTTGAGACCAGGAGGAAACTTCCTGTGATTTATCGTCCTAATCTGGTGTAATTTGGTGACTGTGCTGCACGGTGGTCGCTTCCAGCAACATGTCTGAGACCTTCGGCTCAAACGGCTGCAGAACATCATAACCTGCTCCATCTTTAGTCATTGGAAATTCTGTCATTTTAACAATAATTAAATTCAAATTCAAATTCTATTTGTCACATACACAGTCATACACAGTATGAAATGCCTTACACACCTGCTCGTGACCTAAGCGTTGAAAATAAAACAACTGTACAACTGTACATTAACAATAATTAAACGTTTCTGATCACATTAAGAAGCGTTTCTTACCAACAAACAAAGAAACAATAATTGTGTTTGATGTTTTTATTTATCGGGGCAACGAGGGTTATAATATAAAATAATGCTGAGCAGGAACACAGAAATGTTTAACTTTTTATTCAAACTTTTCCAGTTTTTAAACACGGTTTTCCTTCAGTAGTTTTTTCTGTTAGGGTTGCTGCACACATTATTAAGATTATTTATTAACACAAACTCTTCCAGGCAGCTGGCCTGCAGGGTAACGGGGTCATGTGAGGTCAGACTTAGAGGCGGTTCTACCATTAGGCATAGGTCCATGGCTGCCTGGGGCCCCCTTATGATGGGGGCCCCCTTATGATGGGGGGCCCCCTAGCCCTGACTGCTGGCACCCCTCTGTTAATGGCACAATGGACTATTCCTTTAAGACGGCGATGCACAAACAGGAAGTGATTGGTAGTCATTCCACTCCAATCCAGTTGGTGGCGGTAATGCACCAAATTGTTGTTTGCCAAGTGCCATGAGACCACAAATGAGAAGAAGAAGAGAGGCGGGAGCGTTCGTAACAAACTCGAAGCGATAGTGAAAACATGAAGAATGACATGGAGTCATCCTCGTGGCTCCAATAAGAGAAAGAAGCAGCTCGCTTCATAAAAGCTTTTATCTTCACTTCCGAAAGGGACGTCGTTTTTCGATGTAAACATCAAAAGGAAGCAGAAAAGGAAAGACAATGGAAAATGTTTAAAGGGAGGAAAACGTGGCCCAAAATGGAAAATAGAAGAAAAAACAAGAAAGGCAAAAGCACGGGAGCACTGACAGGAAAGAGAACGCACTCAAAGGGAGAGAAAGACAGGAAAACAGAGGAGGACTAATGAAAAGTGAAAATAACTCGTGTCAGAAGAGGAGAGAGTTTCACAAATCCAGTTAAACATAAGATTGTCAAAAATTTAGTGGAAGGGGGCCCCATGTCTGTGTTCGCCTTGGGCCCCCAAATTGCTAAATCCGCCTCTGGTCAGAGGTGAAGCAGCAGAGCGATCTCGTCTCTGGTTTGTTGCCACAAAAAAATCATTTTAAGATTTTCCAAATAAATACAATATACTCTGCAACATCATCACCAGAGGGTGTGTTCCACCTACAGGGGATCACACTCCTCAGCCTCCTGGGAAAGGTCTACTCCAGGGTACTGGAGAGGAGGGTCTGGTCCATAGCTGAACCTCAGAGAGAGGAGGAGCAATGTGGTTTTCATCCTGGCCGAGGAGCTGTGGACCGACTCTTTACCCTTGCTAGGGTGATGGAGGGGTCAAGGTGATTTGTGGATTTGGAGAAGGGTTATGACCGCGTCCCCAAAGGCACCCTGTGGGGGGCGCTCCAGGAGTATGGGGTGGATTGTCTTTTGCTAAGGGCCCTTCGGTCCCGGTACCAGAGGAGTGCAAGTTGGTCCTCATAGCCGGCAGTAAGTCGGACCTGGTCCCAGTGAGGGTTGGACCACCAGGGCTGCCCTCACCGGTCCTGTTCAAAACGTCATGGACAGGATTTCTAGGAGCAGCCGTGGTGCTGAGGGTGTGGAGTTTGGTGGCAGCCGTGCGTTAAGTGGATGATGTGGTCCTCCTAGCTTCATCAGGCTCTGACCTTCAGCTCTTGCTGGATAGGTTTGTGGCCAAGTGTGAAGCGGCTGGGATGAGGATCAGCACCTCCAAGTCTGAGACCATGGTTCTCGACCGGAAAAGGGTGGCTTGCCAACTCCGGGTCGGGAGAGAGGTCCTACCTCAAGTGGAGGAGTTCAGGTATCTCGGGGTCTTGTTCACGAGTGAGGGTAGGAGGGAGCGGGAGATCGACGGGCGGATTGGGGCAGCGTCTGCAGTGATGTGGACGCTGAACCGGTCTGTCGTGGTGAAGAAGGAGCTGAGCTGGAAAGCCAGGCTCTCCATTTACTGGTCGATCTACCGCCCACTCCTCACCTGCGGTCACGAGCTCTGGGCGATGACCGAAAGAACAAGATGGCGGATACAAGCGGCCGAAATGAGTTTCCTCCGCGGCGTGGCCGGGCTCAGCCTTAGGGAGAGGGTGAGGAGCTCGGACATTCGGGAGAGACTCAGAGTAGAGCCGCTGCTCCTCCATATAGAGAGGAGTCAGTTCAGGTGGTTTGGGCATCTTGTTAGGACGCCTCCCCAGGGAGGTGTTTCAGGCATGTTCTGCCGGCAGGAGGCCCCCTGGTCCACCCAGGACACGTTGGAGAAAGCACATCTCCGAACTGGCCCAGGAACGCCTCGGGGTCCCATCGGAGGAGCTGCTGGAGGTGGGAGGGAAGAGGACGGTCTGGATCTCCCTCGTTGGGATGCTGCCCCCGCAACTCGGATAGGCGGAAGAACACGACGACAAATGCAGGTGAGACTTTTATGTCTCATCTCTTAGCAGCACCGTTAGGAACAGACAGACCATAATATTTACTTTTGTCGCTGCTGTTGAAGGTTTACAGCCTCCGACGACAGACTGAAACACTCCAGGACAAAGAAACGTTCAGTAAAACTTCACATTTTAACTCAAATCTTCTGGGTCCTGTTTAGATGAGGCGCTGGGAAGGATTATTAAAATGTGCTTCGGTGCACTGACGAGGCGCCAGGACCGGTCAGAACCAGCAGCTTTTGTCTGGTTTGAGTTCTCCTGCGAGGTTCCTCCGCCTCTCGTTACATACGGAGTCGTCCCTCACATTCAGCCCAAAGGAACATTCAGCTCTAAATTTAAAGCTGTTCAGATGTTTACCCTCCGTCTTGGGTCGAGAATAGAAGCACCCCCCTCCCTCAGGACCAGTGTGACTGCTCTAAAATTAGACTCGATGGCGTGTGTGTTGTCCACTCAGACTGCCCGTGTTTCCTGTGTGTGAACACACGAGCGACGTGAGGAAAATCAAACAAACTGTTTCTGCTCATCTGGTTTGGAAGCCTCTCCAGTCTCAGTCACATCCTCAGCTGCGGCAGCCTCAGCGTCAGCTGTTGCAGGAACAGTGCGAGCCGAGGACCAACCCTAACATCTTTACCTCGTCTGATGGTTTCAGAGCAGGCGTGACGTCATCACACGTTGGCGCAAGAGCTGACCTCAGACCAGACCCAGGGAGAACCCCAAACATCCAACCATGCTCCCAACACACTGCAGTTCCAGCCTCGTCCACTAGGGGCTGGCAGCAAATCCTCATTGACTCCCATGTTAAAAAAGTAATTTAACAGCAGAAATAAACGTGTTTACAGCC